GTTTATTTCTCTTATAAAATTATCAAAGAAACTTAGGTGGGTGGGAAAATAGGCTCATAATTCATGTACTCTATCTCTTGTGGGTGCCATTATTTGCTAACTTTTAGAATTTGATTCATGATCCAGGAAACGACTTTTTACAATGATAAATGATATGCCCACAATCTTTGAGGTCGTGACGGGAGGTGTGAAGAAACAGGGAAAAGACAAGTCGTTAGTTTCAAATAACATCAGCAACAAATCCAAGACAGGCTCAAAAGGGGTAAACCAAATTTTAGTGTCTTGTTTCTTTTTCATTCGATGATCACTTAGTTGGGTTTAGATTGATCAAGATTATTTTAACAATTGCTCAAGAATTTGAACATTAGTGCAGCCATTACTATAATCAGATATTTCTTTGTTAGGAATCACTGCCCTCCATAATGGTATGACATTGTCCACGTTGAGCATAAGATCTCATGGCTTTACTTTTGGACTTCTCTAAAAGGCCTCATACCAATGAAAATGTATTCCTTACTTATAAACTCATGATCGTTCCCTAAGTTAGTCAATGTGGGACTACCTCTTAACAATCCTCAACGTTCTTGACCCTATGCAATCGTTCTCTTTTTCAAAAACAGAAAACAGACTATAAGAGAAACTTACAAAGGAAAGAGTTGTAAAATTTTTGGGATTCCTGAACCACCACCATGTGCACATCTGATGTTGGTGTTATTCATTTTGAAAACTTAGTTCTTGACTACTCATGATGGAATTTATCTGCAACTCTATATTTCCAGTCGGTTTTCATTGTATATATGATCTTTTGACCATATTATATTTGTTTAACTTGTTTTCCTTTTAACAACATTAACATGGTTAACAGCGAGGATCTGAGGCAAGCAAATTGTCAAAGGGGTTAGCAAAAGAAGAGGATGAGGGACTACTAGACGAGGAAGAGGAGGAGGAGCACGGGGAGACCTTATGCGGGGCGTGCGGGGAAAACTATGCATCGGACGAGTTCTGGATATGTTGTGACCTATGTGAGAAGTGGTTCCATGGGAAGTGTGTGAAGATCACTCCTGCAAGAGCCGAACATATCAAGCAATACAAATGCCCCTCGTGCAGCAATAAGCGAGCACGGCCCTGATAATGATGGGTACCTTCTTAATTTTGTTCATGTTGGATTAAGCTAACTTGTAGTCAATGTTAATCCATGTTCCCAGAGGGGAGGGTATGTACTAAATGCGTTAGCTTGGAACCCTGTTTATCCAGATAGTCTATAGGTTATTAAAATGTTTTCTATGTAATTCCAAACTGGGATACATGGATTGTACTCTATGTACGAACCTGTTCCATTATCTTTTTTCATGTTCCTGATCTGCTACGCCCTGTTCCATCATGCCAGTAGCTTTTCTTCTGGTCGACGGCTTAACAAGGTAGTTCATTTCCTTTTTTCCACCCTTAGGCTCTTATATGAAAATTGCTAAGAATGGAGTGTATTTGGATGAATATTCAGATGTGCTTAGATCATCATTTGTTTGTCCAGATATAACTTGATATATTTTGGGAATACATTTGATCTACATGGGTAGCTTCTACTAGAATGCCCCGTCACTCCATTAAGTTTTTCATCTCAAACAATTCCAATCATAACAAAATGTAGTTTTTTTACCTGAGTGTCTTATAATCTCTTCTCGATTATTTTGATAAAGAGGGAGTTGTGTTCAACCGTTTAATTATGTTTGTAGTCAATGTTTCGACGTTATTTGCGTTACTAACATCTTTGAGATTCTAGTTTGTTAGACTTGGGGATAAAAATGTCCATAGTGCAGAGATTCTAATTTGTTTGAGATTTTAATTCTTTTGGGCAAAATGATTATGTGTGCTCTCAAAAAATTGGTTCTGAGCTATTCGCAAGCGAATATTTGGTTGTCAATTTTCTATATCTAAAAAAATGAAGTTTGGTTTGACATTAGAATTAGAATTAGAATGGTAGTTGAGATACCATTCAAAATTAAACAAATTCATATGAGTCAAATTAGAATTAAGATTAAAATATAAAGAAATGTAATTTACAGCTAAAAGTAAAAAATTTACACTACTTTGTACTAATTTGTTCTTAAAATGTAATTTAAAGTAATAATAATAATAATAATAATTTAAGTTTGGTTTATTTGTAGCAAATTTATAGACCCTTTTTCTGAAATAACCCAAACTAGAAACCCTAGACGGAACTCGTCTTGTCGCTGCTGTATCTCACAAATCCCAAATCCCAAATCCGCCTTTGTCACTACGGGCTTGGTAGAGAGCAAATATGGTGTGGTTTCAGTGCGAAGACTGCGGAGACAACCTCAAGAAACCCAAGTTGCCGAATCACTTCAGAACGTGCTCCGCTACCAAGGTTTTGATTCTCTCTTTCCTCGAAGAAACGGAAATAGGAGAATATGCATTTTTCCACCAGTGATTCTGAAGGGAAAATGCGTTTTCTCCGGTTTTCCCCTTCAACGGAAGTTTGATTCATAGAATTCTACCATGGAGATGATTTGGGGCGCATTTTGATTTCGTCTTATTGTTTTGTTTATAATATTCTTTTCTTTGTTTTCGTCTTATTCGTTTCTGTAATTTCCTGTAGCTGTCTTGCATCGATTGTGGACAAACCTTTGGGCAGGAAAGCGTACAAGGCCATACTCAATGTATTACTGAAGCGGTCAGAATCTATTATCTATACTCCTGTTATTCTACTGGTTAAAAGCGAATTGCTTCGAACTACAAGTTGATCCTATATGTGCTTATGAAAATTACTTCTGTAAAATGTTTGTTTGGTAGCCTGTTAGTAATCTGATCATGGTTGGTTCCATACAAAATCCACGTACATTGCTGCTGTAGCTTCAGCAGGTCATCGGTGTTGTTTTTCTTGTTACAAGTTTTGCCTACTTCTTGCAGGAAAAATATGGTCCAAAGGGGCAAGGGGCAGCCATTAATGTCACCACCCCGAAGTCCAACAAGGATTCAAAACAGCAACCAGATTTTGACATTCTCGTTGGATTGTCCAATCGCCCTCCTTGGTTCTGCAGGTATCTTTATTTATTGTTCTGTCAAACATATTACTCCTTGTTGCATATGAGCCTACGTACCTATTGATATGTAATGTTAATTGTTGGTGGATAAACATATTCTAGATTAATGGACGTAATTTTTTTGTTTAAAGAGTTAATATTTCAATGGTTGTTAGAATTAGAGAGCGCTTGAAATATGTAATGATGATTTATTGAGATTGGCTACCTCGTTCTAAGACGATTTTTGTGCATGTACACTATGTATCATGTGTTTTTTTGCAGTCTTTGCAATACCAAGGCAACTAGTAAACAGACTTTGCTGCTTCATGCAGAAGGAAAGAAGCACAAAGGAAAAGCCCGTGGGTTTCATGCAGCGAATAAACAATCTAATCAGATGGAGGATGCTGTTTCGGATAAAATGCCTGCAGTTGAAGAAACTCCCAAAGATGAAGTAGTTGAAAATGGACATGTTGGAGCAGAAAAATCGAAAGATCAGCTTAAAGCTGAAAGTGAACTTGGAAACTTGGAATCAGAAAATGGTACTTCACATACAAAGAAAAAGAGGAAACTTGATGATGGTTCGACAGAAAAGACTAAAGACGATGACCCAAATAGAGGTAATGGGGAGGTTATTCAGGCAACCAAAGCCGAGATTAAGCCAATAAAGGATGAGATCACAGTATCCAAATCTCTGAAAGAAAAGAAGATCAAGTGGAAAAAGCTGATAACATCAATTTTGAAATCTGTACGTTTTGTGCAATTCTCTTATTTTCATATTTCTTGTCATTCTTATGATGGTCAATGATAATTTGTTTCATATAGTATTCTTGATTATCTAAGTTTTTCTTAAAATATTTTCTTTGATGGAATGGTCCCCGTGGTGAAGATATGTTAATTGATTATTCTCATAACGACCGATTCTATTGATACCGGCAGTATAGCTATAGTGTAACCCTTGGGAAGAAGCGAAATACCACCTTTTTGCATCAGTAATATTCCTCTTGCTGTCATTTTTTTTTAACATACTACTGTGTTTTTTTTTTGTTGGGTATATATGACAGAGTCCTGACGGTGTTCTCAAGATGTCAAAACTAAGAAAACTTACTCTCAAGTCTATTCACGAATCTGGTGTCACAGGAGATGAAACTAAACTTGTTGAGATGCTCGAGCAAAAGGTTTGCTTTTCTGATCTATATTTTCTAAATCATTTATTGTCTATTTATGAGTTTTTGGAAGTACGGTTGAATTTCTTCGAGCATCATTCCATTTGCTAACGATGTAACCTGTGACTGCCAGATTAATTCAAGTTCAAAATTTGCCGTTGAGAAGAAATATGTTCGGCTAGCAGCTAAGGCTTAAACGAAACGCCATTTCTGTAGCATTGCAAATCAAATTCTGCTGCATTTGCTTGCCCATTTTTGTCTAGTGATTTTTAGACGTTTATTATAAGTTTACTTCATTGGAGGAGATGTAGATGACATGTTTTATCAAATGAGTTAATGAAATATTCAGTCATTTTGGGATCCAATCTGCAACACTCATAGGATACTACGTATTATGTGGTTTTATATTATTATTTTTGTGAGTACACATTCATAGGATACATATATGTTATTTTTGTAGTTTTCAAGTTAACCAAGTTCCCCTCATTCATGAAAAGAGAGAGCAAAACAGGGACAATGGATATTGATCTTGTATAATTCCCTTCAGGCTGGAACTGAGATGTAGATCAACGACGTTCAAATTTCCCATTATTGTCTAGTCTGGACTTCCTAGTCTTTGTTATAACATTATTACTGTTCCTAAACAAGGAGGAATTTGTGGCTCAATGAATTGCAATCCGTTCATGAAAAGAAAGGCATGGATGATGAATATCAATCTCGAACAGTTCTGTTTAGGTTGGATTGGATCAATGTACGACAATGACAACGACGACATTCAGGGTTTTTCTTCACGGACTAGATGGTATGTCATTGTATTGTTGTTAATTTCAAAAGAGAAGGATGAACTGCATAGTTTTGGAACTGTTTTATGCTCATTCCATTCAATGTGAGGTTGCCTTGTTTTTGAAATCTGTAAAGCTATTGTATTAGGTTGCATGCATACCATAGTTCAAATCCACCTTTGATGATCTGGCTTCAAGTAGTAGATCTCCAGGAAAAATCAGTTCTGAAAAGTCGAGAAATGTAGATTGTTTTGTTTATTAGATTACGTAGTAAACTTGGGATAAAATAAGATCCATGTATTATATGTTCTTTGTGTGATACAAATGTGACAACTCTCTCTTGAAAGAGGTGGCAAATATATGTAAATATGATTTATAAACATTTACATTTGATGTAAAGAAAAGTAAAAGAAATCACCATTGTCCCGCAACAGAGCCCCTTGATCTTTATCTTCATAGCCACGGAAGCTGTTCTGTTTGGGACTGTATTGCCAAGGTTGAAGGGGCAAAGAGAATGCAGTGCGAGTCGAGAGACAGGGGAGGGCTATAATAGGAGAACAGCTACGATGACTAACAAGATGACCGAACATGCAAATGCCTGCACCATTTACAATTGTTTTGCTTCTTTAGAAGCTGAATCATGTTCAATGAACAGCTCATGGGAGATGGCAAGATACATAGCAATGTAAGGAATTTGGCTACTCGATGTCATTATGTTTGTTTTTCCTAAGATTTTCATGGTTGGGGTGGGAGTGGGAAAGAAAAAAGGAACACTTACAGCAATGGCAGACGCAGCTAAACCAGCTCGTTCCCTGGGATCTCTGCGGACGTTCCAGAAGTAGAGAATTGTGGCATAGTACCACATTATTGGGAACAAAAACCCGAGAAGGAAACTGAAAAGAACGACAAAGATACAAAGGTAAGATCAGTAAACTTGACGACAGGTTCCCCAAATTGTTTGTACAGAGAAAGTTACACGATACTCACGAGAACCATCCAACACCACAGCCAAAACACGGAAGAGGCTTGTCATATAGACCTATTTGCAAATCCTCGACATCTTTGAGAAGAGTATACTTGTTCTTTGTATGGTCAGACACATCTTTTTCTTGGCCTAGGTGAATACAAGCACTAATGTAAGGATGGCTTTCATCATTAATCATTTTGGACATAAATGACTAGACAAGCAAAAGACTCCAGCAACCAATATAAGGTAATATTGGACCATAAAATTGTTAGGAATCACGACTCTCCACAATGGTATAATATTGTCCACTTTGAGCATAAACTCTCATGTCTTTATATTGGACTTCCCAAGAAGGCCTCATACCAATGGAGATGTATTCGTTACTTATAAACCCATTATCATTCCCTAAATTAGCCAAGACTTCCTCCCAACAATCCTCAACAAAAATGTCCTAGCCCAGCATGTTTTATTATAAAAATGTCCTAGCCAGCATGTTTTATTATCCCTGATTTACCTTTGAATATGGAACAAATCCGGGCAGATGGCCTCAAAAGATCAGGATGCTTATCAGAGACCGATTCCACCAGTTGCACTGTCTGCTCAACTTCTGCATTTTTAACATCCAGAAAACATGTTCACAACTCAAGAAATTGTTCCATCTATTTTGTAAAAACTATTATTTCAGTTCGATCTTGTGTTATTGCTATCATGAAGACTGCCAACAGAGTGTCATAAACCGATTATTAGACACGAAATTAGCTTCAATTTCTGAATGTGACTACATTCTTTAATGAAACGTATAACTAAGGAGTGAAAGCATAACAATGAGCATAGGCACATGAATGTCCAAGACACCTTAATGAACCTTGAATATTAAAGAAATTACAAGGCAAGAACTATGTTACAACCCAACAAAATAAAACATCTTTTGCACCCACATAATCATGCCTTCTTTTTTATTATTATTATGAGGAATCCAAGTTATAAGAAGAATTACGGTACTTGGATCCATGTCGAAGGTGGAGTTTATGGAAGGATGAGCTCTTCAAGTTTGCACTATCCACTTTCTACACCTGTGTCAAGAGATTAAAATCTACTCAGTAGTTAGAACAATATAATCAAATGACACCCGACAAGATGCAGCAATCAGAAGAATTGCATCTGGAATGAAAATTTCCCCTAATTTGGTATTTAAAATCCAAATAATCCAAGTTTCTTTTATCAAATTCATCAGACTTTCATGTTGACTAAAAAGAAAACTACTCAATTGAAGACACTAGCCTATGGAGCTTTTCAATCTTCCACAAGCCATCCGATGAATTGGTAATAAAATAACCTAGCTTGACTAAAATTGCACTTCGTGAAACATAGTGATGCTCCCACGCCAAAGTCAAGAATAAAAGGCACAAGGGATAAGAATTGCAATTACGAACTTCTCCAGGTACCAAAAATCCTAAACTCCTATCTCAAATCCTCAACCAAGCGAAGCCAAAGGTCGCAGATACCATCGTTCAAAAACGAAGGGAAAGTTCTGCAATATCCATCAATTACCGAACAAAACAAAAGAGAAATCGAAGAACAAAATACTGCAAACACGAATTAATGAACTCACAGCAGAAAAATCGAAGAGGAACAGAAAAAGAAGATGAAAAATGAAACATCGAAATAAGAACGAGGGGAAAAAGATACCGGAATTGAGGAAGAGGTGAACAAACGCGACTGAAAATGCAATTTGTCTCGCTTTCCACGGATCAGAAATGGAATTGGAGGAACGAACGAACAAACAAACAAACGAACGAACGAACGAACACGGTTTTCTTGAAGTAAGAAGGAAATTTGAACGTCAAACAACGATCACCTTCATCCCTCATCAGCTAAAAGCTCAGAAAAATTGTCTCCCTCGTTCTTGAGACTTGAAAAATAGCGAAAAGCCTTAAAATAAATTTCTTTTTATTATTATATATATCAACCATTCATAGATGAAGCTATTAATACTTTTTCTTTAATGCCTTTTTTTCCAATTTCTTTTATTACATATATATAATTTAACTCAATTATTAATATTTTTAATACTAAAATAAGTGCTAAATGAGAAATAAATAATTTATTATTGAAAAAATATATATTTTAAATCTAAAAGTTTATTGTATTGCAATTTGAAATATGAATATATTCCATTCAAAGTCCACGTTATATCAAAAATGGCAACTGGAAAGCCCAAAAGACAAATAAGCCCCTACAGATTCCAAATTGGTAAGGGTAAGAAATTGTAAATTGTGATGGGCGGTATATTACATTGGGCCTCGGGGTGCTGTCTGAAACAGAAAGCCCAAAAGAAAAGCCCAAATGAAAGCCCAAAAGAAAAGCCCATTTCTTATTCCTCTTGCTGAGAAACTGAGTACCATCACTCTGAAATTCCTTCTCTTCTTTCCTACTGGTCGTCTTGTCTGTCTCCTTTTAGCCTCATTAAGCACTGAGTGACGCACTCCACTTTTCGCTTCGTGTCCATTCTCTGCAACCAACACGCCATCTTCATCCACTTTCCTCCTTTTCTTCTGCTACTTCATCTCTCTTGATTTTCTACTGTTTTCCTCAATCGGCCATGGGAGACGACGGACGTATGCATGCTATGGAGGATGATGAATCTGCCGCTGCCGACCAAATCCGCGCCATCGATATTTACCCTCTCAGTAACTACTACTTCGGATCCAAAGAGCCTCTTATTTTCAAGGACAAGACCTTGGCTGATCGCGTTATCAGGATGAAATCCAAGTATCAAACCTCACTTTAATCCGTTGACTATACTGCGAGGTTTCTGTTTACGTTTGTTGAGTTTGTCTAATATGTTTTCTCGGCTGTTTTTATTCAGTTATGCTGCTTATGGATTGAGGACTTCTGTCGAAGCAGTTTTGCTGGTTTGTTTTCTCTTTATTCACGATAATTTTATTTGTTTCTGCTGTTATACGACTTCCATTTCTGCGACCTTGTGGTTCATACTGATTGATTTCTTCAAGCATATAGAAATTGTTACTCTCTCTGTTATTACCGGTATTGAATTGCTTGACGCCACTTTATCGGTGGAGTTCTGATACTGTTGGTTCGGAGTCGGTCTAGTCATATCGTATACCGCGATAAACACAGCCTCGCCTTATTTGACCTAGTCTCCATCCACTGTGGGATAGATCATGATTCCTGATTACTAAGCGTAATTAAACCACTTGCCTGTGTTGGCTGTTTTTTAAAGTCCATTTTGGGAGAAATCATGGCTAATTGGACGGCGCTGTTCATGAATTATTTTGGGATTGTTTTTTGAATGATCATTGAATATGAGTTCAAGATGTTTTAATTTTCCGCTATAAGATCTCTAAATGGACATTTCATCTTGCGATCCGAAACAGTGCTTAGCTACTGTATTGTAATTGCAAGCATCTGTTGTTCTTAAATTAGGTTGAGCTATTCAAGCATCCTCATGTGTTGCTGTTGCAAATACGAAATTCAATTTTCAATCTTCCCGGTGGTCGCCTAAGGCCCAATGAATCTGGTAAATGTGTGCCATAAATCTCTTCTGCAGCTTTCGGTTGTCTAATAGTTACACTTATGGATATTTTATTATGGTGGATGATCACAAATTACAGATATTGATGGCTTGAAGCGAAAGTTATCAAGGAAGCTTTCTGCCAATGGAGCCCCTGATGCATCTGATTGGGAGGTATTACAATGCCCAATTGTATTTCCTTTATCTTAGTTACTACCATGTGGCCTCTGATTATGAAAGATGGAATCTGAAGTTTTCTTCTAATGTTTAGGTGGGCGATTGCCTCGGTACGTGGTGGAGGCCTGACTTCGAAACCTTGCTCTATCCACATTTGTCCAACAATGTAAAAGGAGCCAAGGTAGTTATTTGGATACAAACTACTTTCTTTTGAAATATGACTACTGGCGGGCGATATACCATTTACTTGTAACTCACTCACTACTACTTGTTGCAGGAGTGCACTAAACTTTTCCTGGTCAAATTGCCGGAGAATCGAAAATTCATTGTGCCAAAGAACCTTAAGTTGATTGCAGTTCCTTTATGCCAACTTCACGAAAACCATAAGGTATCATCCTAATCAAGGCGCTCTGTGGAAGTCGAATTTGTGACATTTTCAAATCTTACCTTCCTTTAAAAAAAAAAAGTTCTATTTGGTTGTGGAAATTCTTAAAATAAATCTCTATGGTTGAAACGTGGTCCATAACCCAACATACATGTGAATATCTCAAACATCTTTGACACATACAGCGCTTCCTTCTCATATTAATCCTGTCATTTTGCAGATGTACGGGCCAGTTATATCGGGTATTCCGCAGTTACTTTCCAAGTTTTCCTTCAACATCATCGAAACTTAAGAGTAATCTTATTGATAATAAAAAAGATGACAAACTATCATTGGTCGGTATTAGCAGACCAGTGAAAAGAATATTTATTATTAGTGCATTATAGAGCTGTCGGCTAACTTTGTATGAACGTTGACAGACCCTTGTATAAAACATGCACACAAACAATGGTGATGATTTTGCAAGTATAAAGATATTGTATAGTTATATAGGTTCACATTGTTACTTTGAAACTTATGTTTGAATGAGTGCTAAAACTATATGATTGTGTAAATTTCTGTCATTTCTGTTGATTTTCTTATGCTAATGATCTCAATTTTCATGTGCTACGGGCAAATCTATTCCATTCTCTCATTCAAGGATGCAGAGAAATGGCGAGGTATGTAATCTGCTAAATCTTATGCTGTGTCAAATGTGTCAAATATATATGTGATCCTTATCCAAAGAATACTTGTGGTCTTGAAAACCTTTGTTATCAGTGGCTCTCGTTGCATGTTTCTTCTAATTGGATATTCTTGATGTGTGGTTATTCTATTGGGGGGTTAGGTTCAAAAAGGGTGTATTAAGAATCACGACTCTCCATAGTGATATGATATTGCCCACTTTAGGTGTAATCTCTCCTGACTTTGCTTTGGGATTCTCCAGAAGGTTTCATGGTAAGAGAGATAGTATTCACTAAATTAACCAATGTGAGACTCATTCCCAATAATCCTCAACAATATACCGGTTGTGAGCTGTGAGGTGAAAACTTGATTGCAGTGATCACACGTTCTAGATCTTTTAAAGATTTCTTAATAAGCGTCAACTTTCAATTTGTGTTTTGTGTTTGTTAATTCTCCGAATTAACTTTAAAATTTGTATCTCATTTGTGTTTTTAATTTTGTTTCAATTTTAAAATTTGTATCTCATTGTTTCAATTTTAAAATGGGTATAATTTGTATCTCATTTGAGTTTTTAATTTTGTTTCAATTCTGAATTTGATAGGTTCTTGACTTTTTTTTTTTTTTTTTTAACTCTTGAAAATAGAATTATTATACATAATAATAATTATATGTATAATAGATTTGTTAATTTTAAAGATGGTTATAATGTTATAGACCGTTTTAATACTCTATTAAATTTAAAATTATTTTTGATCTATTAGATATATTTGAAGTCTAGGACCTCAAATGCTTGTGCAAGTTATCAAACATTAAGACTTTAATTTAAGCTATATTTTCAAAACAAATTTATAATATTTAATGTCAAAAGTAAATTTTATATGGTTGGACTAATACTATAATACTTTATTGATCAGATGAGATGATTTAGTGGTCAGATCATGGTAGTTTTGGCTTAATTTTTTCTTCTTCTCGCTCGTTCCAGATTTTTTTTTAATTTTTTTATTTTTTTGAAAATATTTGTTTAATTCAACAAAAACACTTAATTATGTTGATCATACACATATAACAATGTATAACAGTCGGCTTAAACTAGTCAAAATACTAACGCCCACTACTCTTTTTTTTTAAGAAAAAAACAATCGAAAAAGATATTTATTTATAATCCAACCAAAGTAACATAAAAGTCAATGACACGTATGCCAGACTTTGACTGAGAACCTAAAAAGGAACACAAATGTTAAAACACGTGTGAACTCAACTCACGTTTTCACACGTGCTTGTGTGTGTGTGTGTGTGTGCGCACGTGTTTAAGTAATAATAATAATAATTGAATTTTAATATTGAGTGAATATAAAAATGGGGATTTTGTGAAAAGGGGCACGGACTCGGCTGGAACTTGGAAGGCTCCAGCAACAAAACAACGCGGGTCAAATAATGAGAAGTCAAGCCGGTCGTCTTCCTCACGTCCCAGCCTCCCAGACCGGTCTCCGCTATTCCTCTTCAAATATCTATCTATATATTAAATTAATTAATAAATTTAATTAACTGAAGGAGCAAACCCAAATAAATGAATAATGTACACGATTCTCATAAATCTTTATATATATATATATATATATTTATTTCACTTCTCTTTATTGGAAGACTTCATAGCGACCCTCCACCGGAGGAAACTAATAAGCCCGCCAATCATGAAGAAGGACAGCTCCATGAATCCTAACTTGAAGCTCCATCTGCCTCCTCCCGAGGAAGTTTCCTTCGCCTTCATGTAATTTCATTTCTCTTCTCTCTCTCTCTCTCTCTCTCTCTCTGTTGTTTGAATTTCGAATGCATTGCTGGTTTTTGATTATTTCGTTTATGGCGTTGGTGGTCATTGTAGAACCCGAGGCGGTACTTTCATAGATGGCGATTTGCTTGTGAACAGAGACGGCGTGCGGATCGTTTCTCAAGCGGAAGACGAAAGTGTACGCAATTTTTGCCTTGTTTCCTTTTTTTTTCCGTACTGTTTCTCCATTGATAGGGTACTGTTTGTTAAACGAACACTACTCTCCACAGTGATGGTATGATATTGTCCACTTTGAGCATAAGTTCTCATGGCTTTGCTTTGGGCTTCTCCAAAAGGCTTCAAACCAATGGAGTTAGTATTCCTCACTTATAAACCCATGATCACACCCTAAATTAGTCAACGTGGGACTTCCATCATCCAACACTGTTAACTGATGGCTCCGGCAGTTTCCCCTGTGTTTGTCAATTCCGGAATAGAATGTGTTTTTCTTTTTCTCTGTGTTGATGGAGTTTCCTGTCATTTTACTTTTGCTCTGTTTCGAATTCGAGTATGTTCACCTCCAAAGATGGGAATCAGATCTAATTTCGCTTTTTAATTGTCTCTCAGCCTCCACCAATAAAGCCCTCAGACAACCATTTGTCTTTAGCAGATTTAGATTCAATAAAAGTCATTGGGAAAGGAAACGGTGGAGTAGTTCAATTAGTCCGACATAAATGGACGAATCAGTTTTTTGCTCTAAAGGTTCCTCTCTCTCTCTCTTCTTTTTTGGGCAATATGTTGTTGTTGAATACTTGATTTATCTGTTCATCAAATATTATTTCAAACAGATTCAAAAGCATGTTAGTAGTTTCATTAATATTCGAAAATAGTTAGTTTGCTAGTTCCGGAAATTTATTTGATGGCGAAGTCCTTGCTCTTGCTGTTCAATTCAAAAAGATAGTTATTTCTTTCACAATTTGCTAGTTTGCAAGTACACCTTGGTGACACTCACTTTTGACTGCACGCAATTCTGATACTATGATATTGTCTAGTTTGGGCATAAGCTCCCATGGCTCTGTTTTTGGGCTTCCCAAAAGGCCTCGTACTAATGGAGATATTCCTCACTTATAAATCCATGATCTTCCATTAAATTAACCAATGCTTAACTCACTCCCAATCGAAAGTTTCTACCTAGCTTGCTTATCCTTGCCTTTGTCTATATTGTAGAATTTTTCCATAAAATAGCCCTCATATGAAGAATGTTTATGTAATGAAGAATGTTTATGTTACCTTGTTAGTATTATCAGTTGGGGCGGAGGGTCTTTGACGGGTTGATCTTTCTAATTCAGGTGATTCAGATGAATGCTGAGGAATCTCGTTGTAGGCTGGTTGCTCAGGAACTAAAAATCAATCAATTGGCACAAAACCCTTACATCGTCGTCTGTTACCAGATCTTCTATGACAATGGTGCCATTTTCATAATCTTGGAATATATGGACGGTGGATCACTCGCAGATCTTCTAAAAAAAGTTGGAACAATCCTAGAGCCGTATCTTGCAGCCATTTGTTACCAGGTAGGAGGAAGTCTAAAACATGCCTGATTTGTGAAAACCAAAACGAGAAATTCAAGTTGAGGAATTTGTTGTCTCCTGGTTACATGTAGGTCCTCAAGGGGTTAATATACCTTCACCATGAAGAACATGTCATCCACAGAGACCTTAAGCCTTCTAATTTGTTGATAAATCATAGAGGGGAAGTTAAGATTACTGACTTTGGTGTTAGTGCTATACTGGCGAGTACGTCTGATCTGGCACATTCTTTCGTTGGCACTTACACTTTCATGTCTGTAAGTCACTTAACATAAACATAACCCAGTAGCTACTGCTTGATTTTCAACTTTATTTGCTTCTCTAATATGTGGCATGGGGCTCTAATTTCTTGTAATTTCATGCAATGACTGCAGCCGGAGAGAATCAGTGGGGGCAAATATGACAACAAAAGTGACATATGGAGTTTGGGATTGGTTTTGCTTGAATGTGCAACGGGTCAATTTCCATATACTCCACCAGATAAGGATAAAGGGTGGGAAGGCTTTTTTGATGTAATGCTAGCTGTAGTCGAACTAGCATCACCATCTGCACCTGAACAATTTTCCCCTGAGTTCTGCTCTTTCATTTCTTCATGGTATACAAGCTTTCGTGTTTGATAATCATATGAAATTGTTTCTGCTGTTTCTATTCCATAAATTTCATTTTTCTATAGCAACCCTAAATTTCCGGAACGGTGAGATCCCACGTCGGTTGGGGAGGAGAACAAAACACTCTTTATATATAAGGGTGTAAAAACCTTTCCCTAGTAGACCCGTTTTAAAAACCTTGAGGGTAAACCTGAAAGGGAAACCCCAGAGAGGATAATATCTGCTAACGGTGAGCTTGGACCGTCATAGAAACCATCCTCGAACTTTGCAATATGGCTAGTATGTTTTGGTTTTCTATTTCTCTACTGAGAATTTTCTCCTTATGGCGAATTGGTTTTTATATTTTGGTCAGCTTACACAAAGATCCGCAGCAGAGAAGCTCTGCACGCGAACTTCTGGTATAATTGATCCTTCTGCTGTTCTTCATTGCTATTGATTCAATTAGAACAAGTCAGATTGGGTTCTGAATGCGGATTAAACTTTGTTAATTGGGTAATTTTTTTTTGCTAGGTGCATCCTTTCATCAAAAAGTTTGAACACTTGGACGTTGATCTTGCAGCTTACTTCAAAGATGCTGGCTCTCCATTGGCAACCTTCTAATTTTATATGGTACCTACTGATCTCTCGTTGATCCCAATCCCTAGCTTGAAATTTGGCATGCTCACATCATATTTACTTAGGGGCCCCATTTTGATAAGCATAATTTTTAGGAACAAGAAACCAAAAACAAAACCGTCATGAGAGCTTATGCTCAAAGTGGACAATATCATATCATCATGGAGAGTCGTGTTCAACTAACATGGTATCAGAGTCATGCTCTAAACTTAGCCATGTCAATAGAATCCTCAAATGTCGAACAAAGTATTGTGAGCCTCGAAGGCATAGTCAAAAGTGACTAAATTATCGAACAAAGGGTATACTTTGTTTGAAGACTCCAAAAGAAAAAAAAGGAATTGAGCCTCGATTAAGGGGAGGCGTACTTTGTTCGAGGGAGGTGTTGGATGAAGGTCCCACATTGGCTAATTTAGGGAATGATCATGGGTTTATAATTAAGAAATACTATTTGGAATCAAGAAATACTAACCATTCAAACCCAAACTCAACTAATTTCCATTCTAAGACATGGATATGAAAATTGAAAGTGAAATTGATTTAGGATCCACGGCTCATTCAAGTTTTCCAAGTCTCATATTTTAAATCTCATTTTGACCATCTAAATATGGAAAACTCGCTCACCAGGAGGAGGAGGAGGAGGAGGAGTCAAGCACAGCCCCTTCCACTTTTGCATCTTATTTAATTACTTCAATGTCATGTCTTTGGTGTGGCATCAACTTGCAAGCTGCAAGCAACTATCATATTTGATGTGAGGAAATAGCTACTCTTCTACAAGATTAAACTTCACTGAAGAAATTCAAGAAGCCAACATTTATCGATGGGTAAATCACTCCTGATGTAAACTGTGACAATCGTTGTAATATAGTGTGTTATTTTAATGAAAATTAAGGAATGTGATTAAATTGTCTTGGACCAATGTAATGAAAATTATTTTAGGTAGTTGAAGAAACTGAGAAATCAATATTTGTTCTAACAATATTGCATACAGACTAGTCCGCTTACATTTACTTTGACCAATTTTCGGGCCACGTGCCACTTGTTTCAATCCTTATCCCATCAAATTCTCTATTTATTTTTGCGGATTGGAATTAAACTCTATTTTATTTTTGGATACATTCAATTTTTCAATATAAATTAAAATATAAAACTTCGTAATAAATTCAATAATATTTAATAAAAATATTATAATATAAATTCCAATATTACATAAAAACGAACCGTTTAGTTAATTAATCTCCATATTTGATATCGTTTAGTTAATTAAAAAAAATCTCACCCCCTCCCTCCCTTTTTTTTATTGAAGGAGAATTCACACCCTTATATGCCCAAAACGAACCGTTTCGTTGATGGATAAGGTAGCCTTTTCAATGGAGTTAAAGCCAATAAGATATCTACACGTGGCAATGGCTGGATGCCAGTTTGACAATTCCGAATAAAACACCACCATTTAATTTCCCTCCCCAATCCTACCAGCTACAATATCGGAGGTTGTGCCAAGGGAGCCGGAGAGTTACAGAACAAGCGAAGCAACGGAATTGCATTCTCAGTCACGCTAAATTTCATCCCTGTTTCGTTTTGATTCTTCTGTTTTCTGACGCAATTGAATCTCGATCAATGACTTAAATGCTTGCTTCTTGTGATAACACAAGTCAACAATGGAGTGTATTGGACTCGCTGCTCGGAATTTTGCGGCAATGGCGGCTTCTAGTAGCCCTAATTTAGCTTCAACGGGAAGAAGAAAACTCCAGTTGTTATGTAGAACGGAAAGCCGTCGGTTTGGTTTGCGTCGGCGTTCGATGCTAGTGATGGCCAGTGCAGGAAGTGACAGTTGTTTCGCAGTGAAAGAAGGATTTTCCGACGAGGAAGATTTCATTAAAGGCGGTGGCTCTGAGCTTCTGTTCGTTCAAATGCAGCAGAACAAGGCGATGGAGATGCAGTCCAAACTCGCTGACGAGGTTCGGCTATTTCTGGCCATTCTTCATAATATTTCATCGTGAACCTTTCTTACAATTTTCGTCGGCACAGCTTTGATATATATATTTGCTGTGTAGTTCGTCATTAATAAATTAAATTCTCAAATTGATCTCAACTGTCTTTTTTTACTTGCTATTGGAATTTGTGCCTCTATAATTTAATATGCTTGTGCTTTTAAAATTTTATAGTCCCTGCAATCTTGTATATATTGATTGAATAAATTCACAATGAATTCAAAGCTTAAGCTTGTGGGGGTTCGAAGAACTTAATATTATATCTTTTGACCTCTATGATTTGATTAAATTATGCAATTATATCTGATGTGGTCGGTTCAATGGAATTAATGTCTCTATGACACTTGGAAATATGCCTTGATACACCCCGTTTTTCTGCTTCGGACCATTACTCGTGGCCATTGTTTAAGCTTTTTTTCCCTTTATTTTTTTCTATTGACGTTTACTGATGTATAAATTTGAGGATTGAACTGATATTGTTAGATTTGATTAAGTTTATTTCAATATGATCTTTAGGAACCGACCTTTCACAGTGGTATGATATTGTCCACTTTGAATATAAGCTATTATGGTTTTGTTTTTAATTTTTTCAACAAGGCTTCATAGGAGATGTATTTCTTAGTTATAAATCCCTGATCATATCCTTAGTCAATGGGGGAGTCCCTCCCAACAATCAATCTCCTCGAACAAAATACACTATAGAGCCTCCCTTGAGACTTATGGAGTTCTTGAACAACCTCTCCTTAATCGGGACTCGTCTCCTTCTCCGAGCTCTAAAAAATATTACACCCTTTATTCGATTTAGTCACTTTTGACTACCCTTTCAAGGCTCACAATTTCTTTGTTCGGACATTTGAGAATTCTATTGACATGACTAAGTTAAAGGGTATAACTCTGATACCATGTTAGGAACCACGGATCCTCCACAATGGTATGATGTTGTTCATTTTGAGAATAAGCCCTCATGGTTTTACTTTTCGTTTCCCCAAAAGTTCTCGTACCAATAGAGATGTAGTTACTTATAAACACATGATTAGCAAATGTGGAACTCCCTACCAACTTCGGAAAGATTAACCATCACTTCTGTAAAAAGGAAAAAAAGTTGAGAAGCACAGAATGGATAAGTTTTTATAATGCAATTATTATTTTGAAAAACCAATGTCAGGAGATTCTTCTCAATTAACTAAATTTCTGGATTTCTGGAAGCATTCCACATTTTCCTAAAATAACTTTATGAAGACATTTATTGCAAAAAAAAAAAAAAAAAAAAAAAA